GGTCTCATAGCACAGCGCCTGCAATTAGGCATGGCTGAACTGGTTTGGAAAGGCAAAGGCTACACAACACCTTCACCCAGAGCTGAGCGGGACCCTCTGCCACTTTGGGGTTGGAATAAGTGAAATCCCCCTTTCTCTACCCCCAACAGAGATAAACTGTTTGCAGCCTCTGAGTACTTCTCCATCACTCCTTTACTTCCTGGGAGCAGTGGCTTCCAATCTGACCCAGTTGTCCCTGAGCTTTTCACACACCCCTTGCAGGCACAAGCTGTAGCTGTGGCTCTCAGGGGTGAGGTATGCCCCATTCTCCAGCATGCTGCCAGGGATCTGAGGTCCAGCCAAGCCTCGGTTTCCCATGGAAGCAACTGGTGTGTGTGACACAGACGGGGCTATTTGATGATGGGACACCAGGGTGGGTGCAGAGCAGCAGCAATGGCGATGGACCTGTGTGAGAAGCCTGCCCTAGGATCCAGGAAGGTTTGGCCCTCAGCTCTGCCCCTGTCCTGCTGCCTGGCCATGGTCCCTTCCCATCACCGCTGCATCCAGGCTAAAAGCAAAGCAAAGCTCCCCCAGGCCTCTGCATCTCGATGGCAAATGCTGACACTGTGGATGGCAGTGGAGACAGTGTGAAAGACTTGGCTGGGCTTTAACTTACTTTCACGTTATGCCGTTATGTGATGGAAGGCCAAACATCTGAATGAAGGAAGTGGCAGACAATCTTCCCATCTGGAAGTTAAGAACCTAGGTTCAGGTCAAAATCCCCTCTTCCAGGGAGGGTTCATTGTCCTTGGGTTGAGACCTTCATGGGGTCAGAAATCCTCACTCTCCCAAATGTAAAAAACCCCGAGGTGGCAGTGAAATGCTGGTTTTCCATTGTAAAAAAGAGAAGGAAATCTGACTCCATCACTTGGGAAGTTTCATTTCCAGGGCGCTCACCAGAGCGGGACAATGTCCACCCCTCTTTGGGGAGATGCTGATTGAATGAATGTGGCAGCTATTGTGTCTGCTTGGGAGCCTCACAGCCGTTTTTCTTCTGCTGATAGTTTCTTTTCTTTTCCGCTTTAATGAGTGTTTCTCTAATTGACTTGATGATTTCTGTTTAATTAGCACATTTTGGAGGAATGATCAAAAAATAATAAGATAAAGTAATCAGACAAGCATAGTGCCGAGGAATAATAGCTCCTTTGTGGGGCTAATTGGAGTGGACAGTCCATCGGCTAGTTTGGGGCTCCTTGCAGTTGGATATTCCCAGCTGAGCTGTGCCGTGTGCCCGGGACTTCCAAGCACCCACATAGAGAGACTCAGCTCTGGTCATGGTTTCAATCAGCTTTAATGAGCTGTGAATGAGCACCAAGGAGAGCAGGGTCCCATCCCTGTTTTGGGGAAGGCTGGGGTTTGCCCAGGACCTATGAGCATCCCCAGGGAGGGCAGGAGGGGGTTGTCCATGGGGATGTGAGATGGGCAGGTAAACAGGGCTAGAGAGCAACAACAAAGTGGAGTAGAACAGAAAGCACCAGTGGAAGGAGCAGCCAGAAATCAGAGTTAGGGCTCTTGTGCCTGATCTGCTTGGATTTCTTCCTGAATACCCATCCCTCACATTCCCATATATCACCTAAAGGTTTAAGCCTCTGAGCAAACCCCAGTCTCCTCCCTAGGAGGGTTTTCCATGGGTTACATCCCCTATAGGATGGTACAGGGGATGAGTCCCGCTTGCTCACCGATTGCCAGCCGAGGCTGTAGGTGCATCACCTCTCTGGTCCCTTGTTTTGCCCTGTGTTTGGCCGGGTGTTACTGAGGGGCCCGTGCTGCAGGCGCTGCACCAGCTGGCTGCGTGCGGCACTTCCCAGCACTTTGATTAGATCTGCAGCACTCCAGATGCGAGCGGCCTGCGCATCGATCGGCACTGGGGTTGCTCTTAAACTCCACTTAAACGGTGACTGCTCTTCTGGGTTTAATCAAAGGCAAATGCCTTAAGACAGAAAGCTGTGCGGGGGAATTAGGAGGGATGTCGCTGGGCCATGTGGATTGGGACATGGAAAGGCACACACACCCCCCCAAGTGCCATATTAGGGTGGCCCAGGCACTTGCAGTCAGCGATGCTACAGCACTAAGCAGTGTGTAGCCAACTGTGGCTGTACCCCTTCCTTCACCCGTGTAAACTCCACCTTGACACAAAGCACTTCCCATAGGCTGGCAGTGCTGAGAGCACAGGTTTCCTCATTCCTTTAACCTGGCCCTGCAAATCCATCACCCCAAAATGGGGGGTATTTGGCCATTGTATCTACCTCCTCCTAACTGGCCACATAATCCATCACTCAGCCCTGAGAAACATCCCATTGCCTGCACTGAGAAGAAGAAATCCACCTGGAACTCAGAGGTGAGGATTTAGCCTTGTGAGATCGGGATATTCCTTGCTGCACACACACACACTGCCCTTTGCTGCCTTCCCTAGTGATGGGCTGTTTCTCAGTTCCCTATCACCCCTGTGTCACAGGCAGCCTTTTCACAAGTCCCATCCCTCCTTGTGCTCCCCGGAGGACATGGAGGAGGCAACAGAAAAGCCCTTTTCCTTCTGTCCATGAGGGCAGGGACCTTCCCCCCCAGGCTCCCACCCCTGGTGTGTCACTGCACCCCACTCCTGTGCCACCCTACACCCAGTGCAGGGTCCACCACGGCCACAAGCAGCTTCCCTGCAGAGCAGGCACTCAAGGGATACGGTTTCAGCATCATTCCTGGGGACCAGGCTCCTGCTTGCTCCCGTGCCAGGAGCTGATGTGGCACAAAGAAGCAGGGAGCCCTGGGCTGTGACTGGTGCAGGTCCAACGGGTGGGAGCCTTTTCCACCCTGGGCTGCCTGAAACTGTCAGATGGTCCTTTATTATTGACCTGATTCATATCTAAACCAGGGAGGTGAAAGCTGTCTTATCCCATTACTAATCCCCTAAACCAGGCCCTTCGATACCTTCTCCTTGCTACCCCCCGGTTGTTGCTACAGCAGGTGGTTGCGAGGCAAGTGTACATCCTTCTGGGGTTTCCCCAAGCTTCATATCCCTGCAGAGATGGGGTCCCAAAACCCCACCAGCCACTGATGGGCTCAGAGCCCATCACTGGCTGAAGAGGATCTGCCAAAACACAGCACCTATTTGTAGACCTCCGAGGATGCACCAGGCTTGTCCCCAGTGCCTGAAGGGGACAACCCTAGGTACCCACCTCATCCTGTGTGCCCTCGTGATGCATCCCATAGGGTGCTGCAGGGCATGGAGCGTGTTTGAGGTGGCACTGGAGCATCCATAGGGACACCTCAGGGATGGTCCCACCTCCCTGTGCCCCCAGTCCTGCCCAGTGCAGGGGACAGGGGTACTCCAGCATCAGCCGTGGGTAGCACCCATGCCTGGGACACCAGGGCTAGGGTGCTGTATCCTCTGATCACCATGGCTGGAGCCCATGGAGGACTTGGGTGCTGTGTGTGGGGATGAACCCCAGGGAAATTAGAGCAAGGGGTGATGTTTGATGTTCTGCTCTTTAAGCGATTAATAATCTTCCAGCGTTGGAGAATCAGCTGAAAATCTTCCCTGGAAAATAATGAGCAGAGAAACATTTACTGATTAGTCTAATCCCAGCTAATCCTATTGGATGAGCATATATCAAGATATCCTTTAACTGATTTATTGTCCAAAGGGCCGCTGGAGATGCCCCTCTCCACGGTGCCCAGGGGAGCTGATGGTGGCAGCAGGTATTCGTGTCCCACATCCCCGGTCCCCTCCAGTCCCGGCCGCAGCGCCGTATCCAGGCCACCTCCAGATTTAATCGCTCCTTCCATTTCTGCATCTATCGGCTTTCTCTTGGGTTTGAGCTTTTATGTTTCATAAACTGATTAGGAGCAATTATAGGCGCTTTATCCCCAAACTTTCCAAATGCCTAGGCCATATGCATATTTAAGGCTTCATCATCTCTCCCAACAGCTCAGCCCGAACGTAAACTGCTGAAATCAAGCTGATTCTGGGACAAACATCAAAAATTAGGGGTTTATCCACTAATATCTGCGGGGAACAGGAAATTTGTTGTGGGTGGTGGCCGGATTATGGCTTCTAATTACTGCAGCAGCGCAGATCCTCCCTGCCCAGCAGTGAAAGTCCCCGATTCCAGCAGAACTGTGGCAAAACCACACTGGAGGAGTGAAGGTGCCCAAAGGGATGCTGGGTGCCCTGTCCTGAGCCTAGGGCACAGCCTTGGGTGGGGGTGCCCTCAGCATCCCTGCATCCCAAAGCAGATGGGGGGTGGGTTTGGGAATGGTACCCCCACATCCTGGTGAGTGGTGGCCCAGAGGGTCTGTGTGTGTGTGTGTGTCCCCCCCTCCGGCAGCCCCCAGCGCCGGCCACGGCAATTATCCTAAATGAAAGTTATTGTTCTGCTAATCCCGGGAACAGCTTGCGAGGGGAGATTTGGGTCTTCCTTTAATAACACAAAGTTAATGCGGAGTCCCCTTGTAATTATCTTTATCAGAAGGACCCTCGCTTAATCTGACCGTCCAGTGAAGGCCCGGATCAGGCAGCCTGTGTAAGCCGGTTGTAAATCGTTTTCCATCACCAGATGAAGGGAAGGGTGGAATAAATTGCAGCCCAGGTGCAAGAATCTGGGAGCTAAAGGGAGGACAGGGGCCAAGGCACCTGGAGATGGCCCCATCCCCGGTAGCAGGACACTTGGGGTCAGGGAGGGTCCTGTCCCACAGCCCTGGCCATCCCTGTCCCTGTCCCCATCCCTGGGGTGCTGAGTGGAGGGACAGTGGTCAGGTAGGATGCCCCGTCTGGGATGTGGGGCTGAGGGACCATGGTGTGGGCTGGGATCCCTGGAAGAGGGGACACGGGGACATAACGGGGGGGTCCTGGGAGCAGAAATGGGGGGACGGACAGGACCAAGGGGTTGTGAGGGAGGGGATTTGGGTGACCGGGAGCGGGGAAAGGGGGGGCTGAGGGGGACCGAAGGAAGGGACCCGAGGAGGGGATGGGCAGAACCGAGGGGCGGGGGCTGCGGGGAGCGGAGGGAGGGACGCCGCGGGGGATGGGACCGGGAGCCGTTAATCTGGGGATTGGGAGCGCTTCCCCCGCTCCTCCCGCCGCCCCGAGGCGTGATTGGAGACGGGGCCGGCGGCGGGACCATAAAAAGGGCTGCGGGCGGCGGTGCCCGCTCCGGGCCGGGCCAGGAGGAGGCGGCGGCGGTGGCGATGCCAGGGCGGACGGAGCCGTCGGGGGGACGCGCGGCGGCGGGGACCGTACCGGTGGCGGCACCGGCAGCGCGACCGGGCGGCGCGGGGCTGCGGGCCAAGGGCTTCGCCATCACCGACCTGCTGGGGCTGGAGGCCGAGCTGCAGCCGCCCCCCGGGCCGCTCCCCGCCGCTGGCTACGAGGGCAGCGGGGCGCTGGGGCTGGGGCTGGGGCTGCTCTGCGGGCTGGGGGCCCCCGGAGCCCCGCGCCTGCTGCCGGCCCCGCTGCCGCTGCTGCCCGCCCGCGGCCCCCGCCCGGCCCCGGGGCCGCCGCCCGCCGCCCGCCGGCACAAGGAGAACATCTCCGGTGAGCGGGGCCGGGGGTGGCCGTGAGCGCGACCTCGCACAGGGACCGCCCGCTCCTCCCCGACCCCTGCCCGCGATGCCGGTAGCAGTGCCGCGGCAGGGTGCTGGGGTGGGGGGGGGGGACGGACGGGGAGCCCCGGCCCCGCTCTCTCTTCGTGTATTGGGAGCTGGGTTCTGTCCCCCTGCTCCCGACGGGAATTGACTCTTCCCCTCCTGCATGCTGCGGGCAGATGAGGACAGCCTGTGCGGGGACGGCAGCGAGCTGAAGATGTCCACCTCCCAGATCAAGAGGAAGAAACGCCGGCACAGGTAGAGCTGTCCCTGTTCGCACCTCCTCGCTGCTGCCAGCAGCCTCCTCCTGGTACCCCTGGCTGGGGCAGTGGGGGGCATAGAACCACAGAATGGATTGGGTTGGAAGGGACCTGAAAGATCGTCCATGTCCCCAGAGGGGGAAAGAGAAGGGCTGCCGCTGGGAGGGGATTTTCAGGGTGAAAATGATCTTTGTGGTGAGCCTGTGGATCTGCTTGAGTGAGTCCAGAGGAGACCACGGAGATGCTCTGAGGGCTGGAGCGCCTCTGCTCTGGAGCCAGGCTGAGAGAGCTGGGCTGGGTCAGCCTGGAGAAGAGAAGGCTCCTTAAGGGGAGACCTTAGAGCAGCTCCAGTGCCTAAAGGGGCCAACAAGAAAGCCAGAGAGGGGCTTTTGACAAGGGCCTGTAGGGACAGGACAAGGGGGAATGGCTTTAACCTGACAGAGGGGAGACTGAGATGAGACATTAGGAAGAAATTCTTCCCTGTGAGGGTGCTGAGGCGCTGGCACAGGGTGCCCAGAGAAGCTGTGGCTGCCCCATCCCTGGCAGTGTTCAAGGCCAGTTTGGACACAGGGGCTTGGAGCAACCTGCTCTAGTGGAAGGTGTCCCTGCGCATGGCAGGGGGTTGGAACTGGATGAGCTTTAAGGTCCCTTCCAACCCAAACCAGTCTGTGACTCTATAAAGCTCCAGTGGGAAGGGGCTGCAGTCAGGTCTGGTCTATGTCACAGGGTGCTCTCTCCTCTCGGCAGGACGGTGTTCACAGCTCACCAGCTGGAGGAGCTGGAGAAGGCTTTCAACGAAGCTCACTACCCTGACGTCTATGCCCGGGAGATGCTGGCTGTGAAGACAGAGCTGCCAGAGGACAGGATACAGGTAGACGCCTGCAATGATTTTCTCTCCCATTGGGGTCCATGGGCTCTCTTCCCTTTGGCCAGAGAGTGCAGGTGGTGGGAACGTGGTGGCACTGAAATGCTGCAGGGCACTGGGGGCGGGACTCAGCTTCCACCCCGGCATTGAACAGGCTCCAAATGGAAATGCAGAACGAGGGGACTGGTTGGACTTGATAAACCTAAAGGTCTTTTCTGACTTGGTTGATTCAATGGTTCTATGACTGAGCTGTCCCCAGCCACTGATCAGTGCGGCAGCTCGGCTCTGTCCTCCAGAGACCCAACTCAAGCAGGAGCTGGGAGCGATTCAGGAGCCAAGCTGTGTCCCATTGGCTTCCTCATTAGCTTGTCCCTCTGGGGCACATACAGCATTTTAGGGCCTGATCCCTGGCAGTGTTCAAGGCCAGGTTGGAGCAACCTGGTCTAGTGGAAGGTGTCCCTGCCCATGGCAGGGGGTTGGAACTGGATGAGCTTTATGGTCCCTTCCAACCCAAACCAGTCTGGGATTCTAAGACCCTGTCCCACTGCAGAGCAGCTTGTTGGCTTAAGAACTGGGTGGGGGTCTGGGCAGCAGCTAGGTTGTATGTGAGCCTTCAAACGCAGGAAGGGGGTGAGGAGAGGGACCTGAGCACCCTCTGTCATTGTCACTCACTGCGTTAGGGCCCCATTTTCTGTAGAGGCTGGAAGCAGCAGAGGGGCTCTGCGGGCAGGCGGAGCGTAGGGTGGCTTTGGCTGGGATCACCCTCCTGTGCCACAATCAGCCTCGTGTAACGTGTGCTCCCTCTCCCCCCCTTCTCCCCTCTGTCACTGACACCCACGTGTGTGCCCTCCCTCAATCCCCATACACACACCGCTGCCACCTGCACATCCACGCTCTGCACACCCCAACCCCTCCATGCACCCCCGCGGATGCCCCTTTGCCCTGGACACACGTTCCCCACCCTGCCCTATGGGCCCTGGATGCCACGGGGCTGTCTCCTCCCAATCCCACCCCTCCGTGCTCTCCTGGCTGTTACCCCTGAAGGTTTGGTTTCAGAACCGAAGAGCCAAGTGGCGGAAGCGGGAGAAGTGCTGGGGACGGAGCAGTGTGATGGCCGAGTACGGCCTCTACGGGGCCATGGTGAGGCACTCCATCCCTCTGCCCGAGTCCATCATCAACTCTGCCAAGAGCGGGCTGGTGGGGTCCTGTGCCCCATGGCTGCTGGGTAAGTGGGAGCTTGGGGCTGGAAGGGTCATGGGGGAGCTGCAGAGTGAGTGGCCCTTCCTCTTCCATATGGCCATCCTCGTCTGTTCCCAGAAATGAACGGGGTCTCAGCCATGAGCTGTACACAGGGGGATGAGAACCCCGGCTTTTCTACTCCCTCCTTGCAAAGAAGAGCTGGGAAAGGGAGAACCTTTTCCTGCAGGGTCACAGAGGTGCCCGCATGTGGTGGGTATCGCTGTCTGGTGGTAGCAGCCAGTGTGGGAATCATTAAACCATAGAACCATAGAATTGGCTAGGTTAGAAAAGCCCTTCAAGATCATCCGGTCCAACCATGCCCCAGCACTGCCAAGGCCACCACTAACCCATGGCACTGAGGGCCTTGTCTACACAATGTGTGAACGCTTTCAGGGATGGTGACTCCAGCACTGCCCTGGGCAGCCTGTTCCAATGCCTGACTGCCCTTTGGGGAAGGAATTGTTCCCAGTATCCAGCCTAAACCTCCCCTGGTGCAGCTTGAGGCCGTTTCCTCTTGTCCCATCCCTTGTTCCTTGGGAGCAGAGCCCAGTCCCCTCCTGGCTCCATCCTCCTTTCAGGCAGTTGTAGAGAGCAATAAGGTCCCCCCTGAGCCTTCTCTTCTCACACTAACCCCTTCCACCTCCCTCAGTCATTCCCCATCACACTTGTGCTCCAGGCCCTGCACCAGCTCCATTGCCCTTCTCTGGACCCGCTCCAGCACCTCAATGTCTCTCTTGTAGTGAGTGCCCCAGAAGTGAACAGGTTTGAGGTGTGAATGGGAGTTGCAGGGTGCCTAGGAAGTCATCAGCCTCCCCACCAAACTGAGGAGAGTGCTACCCAAGTGCTCCCCTCTGCTCATACACAGTCCCGTACTGAGGAGGCACCTGAAATCCATGCTGCCATGGGCTGTCACAGCAACCCACTGCAGGGGAGGTACAGACCAACTCTGCCACAAGCCATGCTCCTGGGCTGCAAGAGAGCAGGCTCCAGGGCTTCGGGTCGGGAAAGGCTGGTAGCTAGCATGAGTTTTCCTTTGGGATGCAAACGGGAGCAGCAGGAGGTGATGCTGAGCAGTGGTGGGCAGAAAGAAGCAACCAGCCCCTGTGGCTTTGCTCTCTCCTCTGCCAGGCATGCACAAGAAGTCCATGGAGGTGAGCAGGAAGGCGGAGAGCCAGGAGAAGCTGGCAGATGGCTGGCGAGCGGAGCAGCAGCAGGAGGAGGAGGAACTCAAAGGGAAGCAGGCCAGTTCCCAGAGGGGCTCTGACAAGCTTGGCCCAGCAAAGGATTCGGAGGACACAGCCATCGACCTCTCCAGGACAGCCAAGCACGAGAAGAGGGGTGTGCTGAGGCAGTGCATCAATGGGGACCCCCCCCATGGAGCTGAGCAGCAGGGACCACTGACCAGCTCCCTGCTGAGATAAGAATATTTATTGCTTTATTGCTATATATATTATTTTTTTCCTTAAATAATTGAACTTTTCTCTGAATTCAGGGCATTTCAAAACCGGGCACACACATCCTTGTCCCCTCACGTTGTTCCGGAGCCAGGGTGGAGGGTGGGAGGGGTGTCCCAGCGGGACCAGGAGCAGTGTGAGAATGAGAGCACGCTGTGGTGGTCAGCATGGGCCACTGCCAGGGAAGAGCTGCCCTTCCCCTCTGGGCTCTGAGCGCTTCCCGGCTAGCCAGGAGCAGCAATGCAACCGGAGCTCCAACACACGGGTGCAAGGGTGGTGCAGGAGGTGGCAGGCACCTTTCCCAAGCGCTTCCACTGTGTGGAAGTCCCCGTGCTCTGAACACCAGCTCTTCCCTCCCCAGGAGCAGCAGGTTTGAAACAAGGTTGGGTTCATCCTCAAGCCGGTGTAACCCGACAGGCGCTGCGGTTCCTGCCCGCTGAGGCTCTGGCCTGCCGATGCAGCCTTACCACTGGGTTTACACTGTGTGACCTCCTTAACTCGTGGCTGGGAGAAGGGGGTGCAGACATTCTTGTTTATGCAATGATTTTTGTACACTCTTGAATGTTTCCTGCCACACTATGCAGCACAGAACCGACCTTTGGAAAACCAAGCCATAGAACCCAGCGCAATGGAACAGTTTGGTGAATTGACATAAGAAGAGATGTTGTAATTGTCTGTACCAGGTGTTAATGTCAAGAGCTGTCCTCTGTTTATGTCTGAAAGCACTTTAGTGATCTGGATTTTTGAATGTGGCTCTTCCTGTTTCGTCCACTGCTTATTTATTACACATCCATAAATAAAATCATCGTGTCTCTTTGGTTTTCAGGCTCTGCCTTGTAGTTTGTACCTCCCTTTGGCACATCTCATGGTGGCTGCCAGATCCTCCATAGCCTTGTGCATTGGGCGGGAGGGCTCTGCTGAGACAGTGTCATTATTCCAAGGGGGCAGAGGTCTAGTCCAGTGGCCAGAAGGTGATTGATTTGTGCCAGTTGAAGAGCCAGCCCACAGCTGATGGGTCATGAGAAGGTGTGAAATGGAGCACTCAGACAGCTTCTTAGGGAAGTCACAGGGAGAAAGTTGTTCCATTGTCCCAGGAAGTTTGACAGGCTGAGAGAGCTGGGCTGGTTCAGCCTGGAGAAGAGAAGGCTCCTTAAGGGGAGACCTTAGAGCAGTGTCCAGTGCCTAAAGGGGCCAACAAGAAAGCCAGAGAGGGGCTTTTGACAAGGGCCTGTAGGGACAGGACAAGGGGGAATGGCTTTAACCTGACAGAGGGGAGACTGAGATGAGACATTAGGGAGAAATTCTTCCCTGTGAGGGTGCTGAGGCCCTGGCACAGGGTGCCCAGAGAAGCTGTGGCTGCCCCATCCCTGGCAGTGTTCAAGGCCAGGCTGGACACAGGGGCTTGCAGCAACCTGTTCTAGTGGAAGGTGTCCCTGCCTGTGGCAGGGGGTTGGAACTGGATGAGCTTTAAGGTCCCTTCCAACCCAAACCAGTCTGGGATTCTGTGACAAACCCCCTCCATATAGCTCAAATGTGAGGATCTTCAGTGCTGTGTTTGCTGTCCTGCCAGCAGGAAAGGTGCTCTGCCTCTGGATTGCCTGTGCAGTGCTCTCCTACCGCTCCTCCTGCTGCTTTGAGAGGTGCAGAGCTGGGCCCTTGTGCCCCCACATCCCTTGTGGTTAATACAAGCAGCAGCTGTATGCTCACTCGGGCTAGGTGACGGCATGGTGGGACATACCGGTGGAGGCACACCACAGCAGCTGTGTGGTCCCAACCACACAAGCACCCCCAGCGAGGCACAAGGGTGTCGTGGCCATCCAGCTGCCTGATTCCTGGCTGTGCTGGGTCCTCATCTCACGGCTGGGCTGAACTGGCCCACGCCGACACGCCGACAGCTCTCCTGGAACACCTCCAGTCTCATCTGCTGGCCAAAGCATCACGGAAAATGATCCAGAGGTTTTATTAAAACCTCAGTAATTCCCCATTTGGAAAGTTTCCTAATCCATCTCAGGGGTGTGTGGCCATGTAGGGATGCTGTCACCTGTCCCCACCTTTGCTGCTCTGCCTGCCTCCTTGCATACAGCCTGTGCTGGGCAGGGGGACAGCAGTGGGATGCTGCCTGGGGAGAGCATCTGCACATTTCCTGCCCCTTCCCTCCTCTGTTGTGCCCTTGCTGGGCGGGAGGGAACATCTGCATGGCAAATACAAGCTTTGCAGCAAAAAACATGTCTGATGGGGGGGGTCATGGGGAGAGTGGTTCAGGAAAGGACCAGCCAGGGCTTATTGCAGCAGCAATTAGGCTCACTGAGAGCCGAGACTTAGCACATTGGAGGCCTAATCCTGCCTGAGCAGCATCTGCAAACCTTCTATTTGGGCTGTGCCCCGCTGGCACCGGGTGCCTGCAATCATTCATGCTTGCTGTGCCCGTGTGCAGATGGCCTGGCTCTTTGCCTTGATGCTGGGTGCAGTGCTGTGGGACTGCTACAAGGGGAGAAACCCCAACCCCTGCCCCGTGCAGGGTGAGGACAACTCTCCTGGTGGGCTCCAGCTCTCACCTCATGCTGTGGAGGGAGAGCTGCTGGCCCATGGCGCTTTCTGTGTGCCAGGAGGTAACCGTGGGGTGCAGCCGGGTGTGCTGGGGCTCAGATGTGCCCCTGCTGCTCACTCACAGTGTGCACCCCGAGGGAGGTGCTGCTGGGTGACAGTGGCTGCCCAAAGCTCCACAGTGATGGTGGCAGGGCCCAGAGGGGCAATCCTCGGAGCAGGGACAGTCACTCACCTCTTGGCTGCCTGTGCTCTGCATGTCGCTGTGGCTGTGTCAGCAATAGGAGTAAGGCAGCACGTTCTTCTTGTCGTTGTTTCAGGTTCCATCCGTGCTGGGATGAGTGGTAGGCAAACCAGTGCCAGCTCAGGCCATGGACAGTCACATTGTGACAGAAGAGACCCTGACTTACGGCAACGGCTGCTGCTTGTGCACATCTTCCTTGCTGCACTGGGACTGCCCATGGGAGGCTTGAGAGTCCCTCAGCCACAAAGGCTGGGTTTGCTCAGGGAGATCCCTTCAGTGGGGCTTGGGCAAGGGGAGCTGGTAACGTGAAAGCCGCTGTTGAGCAGCCTCACTTCATCTGGGCTGTCACTCACCCCAGCACATCCAGAGCTTTCCATAGCGCTCGCCAGGGACTCCAAACAGCCACAGAGGAAGAGGAAAGGGAAAAGGGAGTAAAATGACGTTATTTTGGCATCCCTCGGCTTCTTATGGGATTGGAGGCTGTTGTCAAGCATGCATGTTTGGGGGCTGCAGGGAGGCAGTGGCATCTGCATGGTGCCATTTCTGTACAGCTTAGTAATATCAAATGCTAACCATCATTCTGCAAATCCTCCCAAGCCACCGGCTGGATTTTCAGATGGGGAGGTTAGGAAGTACAATATGAGCTATATACAAGCTATATAGCCCCATCCCTGGCAGTGTTCAAGGCCAGGTTGGACACAGGAGCTTGGAGCAACCTGCTCTAGTGGAAGGTGTCCCTGCCTGTAGCAGGGGTTGGAACTGGATGAGCTTTAAGGTCCCTTCCAACCCAAACCAGTCTGGGATTCTATGATTCTATAGTATTAGGTACATAGGAGTATAAACGTTTTAGAAGTGCTCCCTCGTGTGGAGCTCTGGGTGATGGGACACCATCGGAAGCTGGAAGGTTAACTGAGTCCCAGAGGTAACCAGGAGCCTCGCTCCTTCCCCTCAGCCCAACAGACCCCTGTCTGCTGCCGAATGAACCTAGACCCCTGTCTGGATGCCGAATGAAAGAGTCCCATGGGGGTTTGTTTTCCATTCATCGCTTCTTGGATCACCAGCAGGCACTTGGTAAAGGAGCAGCCCCCACCCCAGAGCAAGCTGGGTTGCAGCAGAGGGCACAGGCATTGATCAGAGGCTCCAGCCTGCTCCTTGCCAAGGGTGTTGTTAAAGAAGATTCTTTGCCCTGGGTTTCACACAATAGGTTGCTAGAACAGTAATTTAATAACTGACGGGTACAGGAATACAGGTGGGTGTGGGTGCCTATGGGATGGGCCCCAGAACGCAGACATCCCTGGGGCTTTATACCCTTACTTATAGGTCTTTATACCTTACTGACCACCAGGCACTGCTCACATGCCTTGCACACATCTCATGGTTCCATAGGGAATTTTGGTCTGGGATCTGCTGGTCCATCACTGGGCTCTTTCAAGGCCTTGAGGTGGGCTGTAATTTCCTATCTCTGGTTGTTGCTCCTTGCTAAGGATGCATCTCTACCTTCCAATACGCATTAGCCTTGAGCTTTACAGAACCAAGTACAGAGCGTTGCAGCCTAAGGCTCCAGCAACTTCAGTTTCCCTTCAGTTTCTTACGCTCAGCGATTACACGAGCTAGGCAAACCGCAACCCCCGGCCAAAAGCCTTCAGTTAAATCAGTTCAGCTGCTGTTGGTGAGCAGTCAACAGCTCAGCACAGCACCGGCACCACCACACTCTTACGAACCCAGTACACGTGTCCAGCCCACAAAACCTCACCACGTTGGCACTGCTGAGGCCGACCAGTTCTGCGCTGGGTACCTGCTATTAACCCCCTTATTCCATGTGCTGCCGGCGCGGGGCTCGGGGAGGGCAGCAAAGGCCTCGCTCGCCTTTCTGGCTCCATCCCGACCCTGCACAGCCGCGGCACTCTCTGGGAGCCAAGAGGGGGTGCAGCCGGGAGTGCTGGCGCTCAGATACACCCCTGCTGCTGCGCTCACGGCGGGCACCGCTCCAGAGGGCACCGTGAAGGAGGTGCTGGTGGACGGCAGCGACTGCCCAAGGCTCCGCAGCGCTCCAGGGGCAATCCCCGGAGCAGGCTCACCCGGAGCGGGTCTCGCCGAGGCCCGGCCCTGCGGTGCCGCTGCTGCGGGGCAGGCGCTGCCCGTGGCGGGGCGGAGCCGTGCCGCTGCCGCTCGGCGCCTGCTCCGTGTCCCTGACCCCTCGGAGCCGCTCCTCCGCGCTGCGCTCCGCCCCGCGGCTCGATGGCGGTGGCGGTGCTGCGGCCGCTGGACGCGCCCCCGGCGGAGCTGGCTCCGGTGACCGCGCTGCTGCTGGCGCCGCCGGCGCTGTGCGCGGCGCTGCGCGGCCGGGGCGGGGGGCTGGTGCTGGCGGTGCGGCCGGCGGGGCGCTGCGGGGCGCAGCCCGTGCTGC